GTGAAAGACTTTATTTTTGGGGTCTCCAAAATCACTGCAGATGGTGACTGCAGCCATGAAATTAAAAGACACTTGCTCCTTGAAAGAAAAGCTATGACAAATCTAGACAGCATATTAAAAAGCAGAGACATTACTTTGCCAACAAAGGTCTGTCTAGTCAAAGCTGTGGTTTTTCCAGTAGTCATGTATGGGTGTGAGAGTTGGACTATAAAGAAAGCTGAGCACCAAAGAATTGATGCTTTTGAACTGTGGTGTTGGAAAAGGCTCTTGAGAGTCCCTTGGAGCAAGGAAATCAAACCAGTCAATCCCAAAGGAAATCAGTCCTGAATATTCACTAGAAGGACGGATGTTGAAGCTGAAGCTCCAATACTTTGACCATCTGATGTGAAGAACTGACTCACAAAGACCCTGATGCTGGGGAAAGATTGAAGGCAGGAGGATAAGGGGATGACAGAGGATGAGATGGTTGAATGGCATCACCGACTCAATAGACATGAGTTTGAGCAAGCTCCGGGAGTTGATGATGGACAGGGAAGCCTGGCATGCTGTAGTCCAGGGGGGGTCACAAAAAGTCAGACACGACTGAGCAACTGAACTGAGCTGAACTTAAGGACTGTGAGAAATAAATTTCCATAGTTTATGAGCTACTTTGTCTGTGGTATTTTATTACGGCAGTCTTAGTCCTAAGACTAATTTAGCCCTAATTTAAAATCCTAAATTCAATTGTAACTGGTTTTTATCCTCTGCTACCCACTTAAATATTGACTCCCACCATCTTGGATTGGGTAGTCCTAGAAGGGGATCCTCAGGCAGGATTTCAGTGCAACTAGTTTACTTAACAAGTGATCCCAGCCAGACTGGAAGTAGGGAAGTGAGGCAGGAAAGAGAAGGGAGCCAAGGAAAGGAATATTATTAAGCATATTAGCGCTGTGGCAACTGGAACTGGGGCTCAGTCCTGCTGGGGACCGTAGGAGACAGTACTAACACGCCTCTGAGTCTTCCTACCCCAGGGGTGAGAAAGTGGGGGAGCCTCCATTTTCCATCCATCATTGGCTAAGACCTGCTTCTAGTGACATTAACTCCTCAGGAGGTCTGTCTGTAGTGTAGAAGGAAAGGTCTTTCAGGTGGAGAATCACGGGTGCCTTCAGTGGGACAGCCTTTGGAATGTACCAGAATGCTGGGTGACGAAAGGATGTGTTTCCCACAAGAATTTTTGAGCTTCATGTAGCAAACAGACTCTGAGGTCATCCCTATGGTTTCCACTTCCTGGTACTCACACTCTGTATAATCCCCTTTCCTGAGTGAGATGATTCTAACCACTAGAATATGATGGTGATGGGGTGTTCGCATGGGATCAGGTTCTGTTATGTAAGATTCCATTCTGATAGCTCTCTCTCCCTTGCTGCCTTTGCAGAAGTGAGCTGCTGTGTTCCAAGAGGCCCTGTGGAGAAGCCCACAGGGCAAGGAACTGTGAGCAGCCTCTTGGAGAAGAGCAAGGCCTCCAGTCTATAGTTAGCCCTCAGGTGGCTCAGATGGCGAAGAATCTGCCTGTAATGCAGGAGACCCAGGTTCGATCCCTGGGTCGGGAAGATCCCCTGGAGGAGGAAATGGCTACCCACTCCAGTAGTCTTGCCTGGAGAATCCCATGGACGGAGGAACCTGGCGGGCGACAGCCCTGCTGCTGCTGCTGCTAAGTCACTTCAGTTGTGTCTGACTCTGTGCGACCCCATAGACGGCAGCCCACCAGGCTCCCCCTCCCCAGGATTCTCCAGGCAAGAACACTGGAGTGGGTTGCCATTTCCTTCTCCAATGCAAGAAAGTGAAAAGTGAAAATGAAGTCGCTCAGTCGAGTCCGACTCTTCGCAACCCCATGGGCTGCAGCCTACCAGGCTCCTCTGTCCATGGGATTTTCCAGGCAAGAGTACTGGAGTGGGGTGCCATTGTCTTCTCCCGAGAGACAGCCCATGGGGTCACAAAAGAGTCAGATATGACTGAGCAACTAACATTTAAACATAGCAGCAATGAACTAAATTCTGCTAACAGTGAGTGAGCTTAAAAGTAGATTCATTGCCCGTTAATCCTCAGATGCCTCGCTGACACCATGATGACAGCCTTGCAGAAGGTCAGATCTATACCGTGCCCACCCAGACTCCTAACCTACAGGGTGTGAGGTAATAAATGGGAGCTGTTTTCCACCACCATAAGGTTGTGGTCATTGGTTATACAGTATAGACAATGGACACACTCCCTTCTCCTGTAAGCCCCCAATCTGGGTAAGGTGGTCTCAGCTCCCCCGCTTTACTTGTCACCTTTACTCCATGTACACTGATTAGCAATTCTCTTTTTTTTTGCTTGTGCTGGGTCTTTGTTGCAGCGCACAGGCTCTTGGATTTGGTGCACAGGCTTCTCTCATTGCAGAGTATGGTATCCAGAGCATGCAGGCTCCAGCACAAGGGCTCTCTATTTGAGGTGTGCAGGCTTATAGGATCTTAGTTTCCTGACCAAGGTTTGAACCCGTATCCCCTGCTTTGGAAGGGAGATTCTTAACCACTGGACACCAGAGAAGTCCCCAGCAATTCTTTTAGTTGAAAAAAAAGTACCAATTTTTTTTCTTACTACAAAAATAAGACACATTCATTCTAAAACATTTATAAAATACTTATAAGCAAAAAGAAACTAATGAATTTCTTTCAGCTTTCTATTTTTTAGGTAAATTCAAACTTTCTTCCAAGGAGTTTTCTGTCTTTTTGAGTCCTGTAGTTTATTCTTTTTCAGCTCTGCTATGGATGTACCTTTACCCAAATATAAATTTATAATTAGAAAAGACTGCATTTATATGGATTGTTCTTGAACTTTTCCAAAAAGGTGTACTCTCAAAATACCCATATAGTTGGGAAGAGGAATTATTCCCAGAGGGAAAAGTTTCCATGGACACAGCAAAACCATTGTCCAATCTTTGCTCAGAGGGAGTCTCATTCCACCCAAGGAGAAAAGAAAGTGCCAAGTGTCTGAGGCCGTTGTTCCCGAACATCTTTTCAGTAAATAAAGGGCTTCCGAATTTAGAAATTTAGGTGCTGAGTTTGAAAAGGAGGAACAGCAGAGGCAGACAGTTCTATGCATCCTCCTTTACTTTTCCTTTCCTTCTTCACCCTGGGCAGCAGTAGAGGAAGACTCCCTGCAGGCTCGGAGGGTCTCAGACCCCAGGTGGTAGCTCCAAGGCATTTCCTTCTTCCTTCTTCCTTTGCAACTGTCCCTCTTTCTGCCATTCTACCTTGATGTCACCTCAGTGAGGATCACCTGCCATTAGGTGACGCTCCTTATCTTTCTACTTGGCTAGTGATCCCTTTTAAGGGAAGTTCGCCCATGCATTTATCTAACAAACACTCCTTAAGTGACTACTGTGTGCTGAACTGGGTTTCCCTGGGTGGCGCAGGGGTAAAGAATCCACCTGTGAATGCAGGAGATGTAGGTGTGCTTGGGAACATCCGCTGGAGAAGGGAAAGGCCACACACTCTAGTATTCTTGTCTGGGAAATCCCATGGACAGAGGAGCCTGGTGGGCTATGGTCCATGGGGTTGCAAAAGAGTCAGACATGATTTACAGACTGAACACGTGTGCTGAGCACTGTGATGGATGACCAAGCATGTGAGCAAGAGGCAGCCTACACTCCAGGAGCTCAGCTCTAGTAGAGAAGACCCATGCACATAGAGAAGACACAGTGTGTCTTGAGTGCTCTGAAAAAAGTAAAATTGTTAGTTGCTCAGTTGTGTCCAACTCTTTGCAACCCCATGAACTGTAGCCCACCAGGCTCCTCTGTCCATGGAATTCTCTAGGTAAGAATACTGGAGTGCACAACCATTCCCTTCTCCGGGGGATTTTCCCAACCCAGGGATTGAACCCATATCACATAGTCAATTGATGTGACCATTATCAGTCAAGAACAGTTCCACTACACACATCCTTTGTACCACTTCCTTTATGACCATAGCCATACCTGCTCCTCCCATCTACCTGACCCTTGAAACCACTAAGCTGTTTTTCATATCTGTAAGTTTGTCATTTCAAGAATGTTACATAAAGGGAATCACACACTATGTAACCTTTTGAGACTGACTTTTTTCACCCAGCAGAATTCTCTGGAGGTCCATCCAGGTTGTTACCCATATTAATAGTTTCTTCCTTTTTGTTGCCAAGTAGTATTCTATGGTATGGATATACCAGGTTGATTTACCCTTTCAGCTGTCTGGATATTTGGGTGTTTCCTGTTTTTAGCAACTACAAGTAAAGCTATTATGAACATTCATGTACAGATTTTTGTGTAAACCTAAGTTTTCATTTCTCTAAGACAGAGGCCCGGAAGTGCAAATGCTGAGTGATACAGTAAGTGTATATTTAATAGTATAAGAAACAGCCATACTCTTTTCTAGAGTGGCTGTTCCATTTTACATTCTCACCAGCAAAGTCTAAAGATCCAGTTTCTCTGTATTCTTGCTGACATTTAGTGTGGTCATGATTTTCATTTTAGCCATTCTGATTATACATTTATTTTGTAAAAGTTAGACTAATATGCACCAAAACTTTTTAAGAACAGTTATATCTGGCGTGTGTGTGTAGAGCAGGGTGGGGGTGGCTAATACTAAGGAAGACTTACTTTCTATGTTACTTATTTTTTTAGTATTCAAATTTTGCATAAGGTAATACATGTTTGGAATCTAAAACTCAAATAGAAATTTTAAAAATTAATTTATTTGATTGAACCAGATCTTAGTTGCTGCACATGGGATCCTTGACCTTCAGCTGAGACATGTGGAATCTTTAGCTGCAGCATTTGAACTCTCAGCTGCCCCTTGAAAGTGAAAGTGAAAGTTGCTCAGTCATGTCCAACTCTTTGTGACATCATGGACTATACAGTCCATGGAATTCTCCAGGCCAGAATACTGGAGTGGGTAGCCTTTCCCTTCTCCCGGGGATCTGCCTGACCCAGGGATCGAACCCAGGTCTCCCGTATTACAGGCAGATTCTTTTTATCAGCTGAGCCACAGGGGAAGCCCAGAGAAAGGAGAGGGACTGATACTACAGGAGTGAAGGAACATCTCTGTTTATCCAAGACCCTGCCTCCTCTGTCCTGCTGTGAGTTCACACACACAGCTCAGCTCCACATGACTTTAAGGCCCCCCCTTCTCTCAGGCAGTCACTTCTCACGGTAAGAGCTCTCCCCCGGCCCCTAGAATTGCTGTTACCGCCCCTGACCCCTCAGCCTATAGAGGGAGCCACAGCTCCCCACTATTGCTTGTGCCCAGCTGGCCCCATCCTACCCTGCCCATACCCCTGGGGACAGTCTTTCCATCAAGCCCTAGCGATGCTCAGCAGCCAGCTCCCTCTGCCAGGGCCCTGGCTGCCGCACCCAATGAGGCCAGCCCACAGAGCTGGTCAGAGGGACCCAGGTCAGCTCAAGTGAGAGGATACCCACTTCTCTGAGCCTGAGGAAAGCAGGAGAAGGTGGACCAATAGAGATGTCTGCAGGTAGGAGTCAGTGAAATTCACACCCGATTCCCTCTATTTTCCTGTGAACGAGGAGGCAGTGACTGTGCCAGACACTAGAGCTAGAGACCGATCACTCCTTTGCACAATCATGCTTCCAGAAAAAATATGTCTTGTTCTTTTCTGAAAAAGAAAGCATTTTCTCTGCTCTTAATGTAGGCTGCTGAGCACAGCTGGGTTTTATTATCACAAAATTAATAAAAGCTTAAGGAGGTCGACTCTGGAACTAGACTGCCTAGTTCCCAAATCCTCATTATCACTGTTCTGTGATGTTGAACGAGTAACCTAGTCTCCAGGCCTCAGCTTTCTCATCTGTAAAATGGGGATGCTAATAATAGGATTTGCCTCCCAGGTTTCAGGAAGATTAAAGGACTCAACACATGGAAAGCCGTCAGCACAACACCTGCCCATCTTGTGCACTCAGCACACATCAGCTGTTCTTACTTCCAGGAGAGGTGGGGAAGGTGAGGTACTGGAGAAATTAAAATAGCCTGGGTAAAGAAGGAGACAGCCCTGAGCAGGGGCAGGTGAAAAGTTGCTGAGACAAAGAAAGCCCAGCTGAGCTTGATGGTGATGAATCTCGTTCTTTCCAAGACAGTCACTGAGTGTTTACCATCTGCCAGGGATTCATAGGAGCTGGCAGTGCAGCTGTGAACCACTCAATTTCAATCAGTACAGGTGGGGTTATGATAAGCGTGGGTGGGTCCAGGTTTCTGGCAGCCCAGGGAAGGGGCGGCTGGGTAGCCCTGCAAATGAGGAAGAGATGCTGCTCCAGGCCAGGTGGCTTGGGCCATAAGAAACAGGTACCCCCTGAAGTTGCTCAGCCCAAAGAGGTGGACGGGCAGGAGGTGTTGCGGGGACACAGCAGGCAACCGCAGGTTCTTAGATTCAAGGGCAGGAAACAGGGTGTAGCCGAAGCAACCTTAGGAGACTGGAAGGAACTTTAGGGGACCAGATGGACCGGAAGGGAAGCTCCTCTGCTCTCCCAGGGCTTCTGGTTTCTTTAGCTTCACCTCTCCTGGTTGCTCTACTCACCTCTCTCTTGACCAGTGTCTTCCTGCTTAATTTTCTGATAGTCACTCTTATCTACAGAGTGATGGCAGCCAATTCACACTATAGCAGGTGGATCAGCTGGCTGCAGTATTGAAATACCCAGGCTGGTCTGTCAGCAGTAGGCAGGTTATCCTTTCTTCTTAGCAATCTCATTAGGCCATTAGTATTCCTGTAAAGTGAGTGGTCCTGTAAAGTAAATTTGCCTTTCCATTCTCATGTTGCAGTGTCCAATGAAAATAGAAATTTTGAGTAATTTTGTTGAGGTTTCTTGTGCTTCATCAGAGCTTCCTCTTGTCACAGAGGAACTGAACAAAGGATGGAAATGATGGCCCAAGATTTTTCCTCCACTTTCTCCATCTGCCAAGTTCTTCCTCTTTCCAGAGACTTTTCCCCACTTAGATCATTCTTTTTTTTTTAATTTGGAAATATTAATATCACATTATGGTTTTATTGAAATGCAATTCATTTACAATGTTGTGGTAGTTTCACATGTACAGCAAAAGGATTCAGATACACGCACACATACAAACACACAGACATATATATATACATATGTGTATATATGTATATTCTTTTTCAGATTCTTTGCCTTATAGGTTATTACAAAATTTTGAGTATAGTTCCCGGTGCTATACAGTAGGTCCTTGTTGATTATCTGTTTTTATGTCACTCTTCTGAATTCTCTCTTGGTTTCTCTCATGTCTTTGCCCTGGATTTTTTTATTCTTTTTTCTTCCCCACCCCTAACATTTTAATTAAAATGTAAACAATCAGAAAAGTTACACCTAGATTCAACAATTCATCTTTGCCATATTTGCTTTCTTCTCCGTCTCTCTCCCTTCCTTCCTCTCCTTGTAGAGAATAAGAACTATCTCCTACAAAACTCCAATACCATTATTGCACCCAGTAAAATTAACAGCAATTCCATATCATCTAATATGTTGTCTATATTTAAGTTCCCTGATTTTCGGCCCTAGCTGTTTGTACTCCTAAATCTTCCCACCTCCACGTTACATTCTGATGCTTAACCCAGCTGCCCTCTTCTTCATAGTGAAAATTCCCTTGGCAGAAACCAAGGAATGCTAGGTTAGCCACAAGGAAAAGCCAAAGGACTGTGGATAAGATGTCCTAGCTGCACCTACCAATGTTTTGCCTTGGGAAAGGAAAAGCCAGTCCACTGTTTTAATTTTTAATTTTTTTTTTTTGAGCTTTGTCCACATTGGGCATCCTTGGTCACCCTCTGTAGAGTCTCTAGTTTGCAGGTTTGTATAATCGATGGCTCACAGCTGGCTTGTCTCTAGCCAGAGGAAGTTCTGAAGCAAAAATCTCAAGAAAGGACGACGCCTGTGTTTGTTGTCTCAGGAACAGCAGTCACATCTAGGTCAAGAGAATGATGGTAATGTAGGTTATTCTAGGCTGGGATCAGTCTGCGCCAGAGATGAAGATGAAGAGAAACTGTGTTCCAAAAATCCCAGGCCTCACATGGATATTACCAACTTTCTCAGATGCTGGATGGGCCTTGGCAGCCTAGAAGCCAACTGCCCCATGAGAGAGGCTGAGCTGTTGCTGACCTGCCTACCATCTCCAGGAAGTTCCTCCCTGGAACCAACTATGAATGAATAAAAGTACCACCTATAAGAAGGAGATACTGTCTCACGATTCTGGAGGCCAGAGTGAAATCAAGGTGTGGGCAGGACTAATATTTAGGAGTTTGTTCAGACTGACTCTTGGTAGGCATCAAATCTCAAGCATCAAAGAAATCTGGATAAATTTCTAGAAAGCCTCCTAGGCAGGTGCCTATGAACACTTTTCTATTAGCAGAAGCACCCAAAGGAGAAGTCCAGAGATGGATCAAGGAAGAAAAAGCAAAAGTCCTACTCCTCTCACTTAGGCCTCAAGCAATTTGTGACACATGTCCTCCGTGTCTTCTCTGTCGCCTTTCAGAATCCCCTTCTAAATTTCCAGTTAATCTCAGCATGAGGAGTAAGTCACCAGCTCTCTGAAGGCCTCCTTGGAGCACAGCCTACTCTCTGCAGGGTATTCCCCATTTGAGCCCTATCTACACCAGCTCTTGGGGATGATCCGATCCTAAGCACACAAACCTCCTCAACTCCTGCTTCCCCCAGCAATTTTTGTGTAAATTAACCTATAAACTGAAGGGCAAGGCAGGGGATGTTTTCCTGTGCTCTTTAATCCGGTATGTAATAAATTGTGCCTATTTAATCCTTTAATAACTGAACAAATGACTGAATCAGTCTTAGAACATTCAGCAATCCCTTTTTATCAAAACTTAATTTGAAGTCTATGTAATAGCAGAGAGAGAGAGAGAAAGAAGGAGAGAAAGAGACAAGAGACCAGAAAGCGGCAATAGCAATGGCAGTGAATCTCCAGGCCCCATCCTGGATGGGCTGCCAAATGCAGGGGCTAAGGGGAAGGCTCTTCTTCCAGGATAAGCTCAGTGAATGCACTGAGAGGGGGAAAATAGCAGAACATCAGCATCTGAATTCCATCAAAAAGCTTCTAAATTATGGATAAGGCATTGTAATGCCTCTGCTCCAGCGTTTATGTTAGTTAGGACTTGCCTTTGTATAGAATGATGACACTACCAACAGAGAAGTTTGTGGAAGGGGACACTTACTCAAAAGACTCATTGTTTTAGCCACAGGAGGTATCGATTTTATTTGGTCCCTTGCACCGCCCTGGGACTAAGGCACCATGGGTGGCCTTGAGTCACTGACAACAGTGCCTGGAGGCTTCCCGCCAGTAAAACCCTGTCACCCGATTCACTTTTGGCTTCCAGCCAACATTGCCAGTTTACAAGTACCTATGTGCCCTGGATCTTCGGGAATAATTCCAATTTCAAATCCTGGGTCATGTTGCCAAACAATAAGTCAGGCCATGTGTCCTGATGTTTTTAGTTCTAAAAACTCTCATCATAATGTCATATGGTACTAATTGTACTTATGAGTTTTTTTTTATTAAAAATCTTTCTACTACAAAAATAATATAGTCATATTATTAAAATTCTGGAAAATTAGGAAGAAAAACATAGCACCCATAATACCACCATCCTGCATATAGGTATATACAAATGTATAATTTTTCCAGCATATTATCAAAATAAATGCACTATTTTATATTCTACTTTCTCCAACCAATGTTATATTTTTAGAAAAACATTGCTAATAAGCATTTTTAAAGAATGCATTTTAATGAAAGGATAATATTTCTTTCAGATTACTAAAATATATTAATCATACTTATATTTGTTCATAATTTTCACTAGTATTATAAATCCACAATATATACCATTGTAATGTATTTTCTAGATTTTTCATTTTTCTTTAGTTTTTACAAGTTGAATTACAGGCTTGGAGTATGAATATGCTAATGACTCTTGATATATATTGCAAATTGCTTCCCAAAAAAGTTGTGCTAACAAACACAGCCATCAGCCATGTCTGAGGGTGTCTGTTCCACGTCATCACCACCAACAAACCAATGTGTTGAGATGAAGTTTTGAAATGATTCTCATGACAGTTTTGCTGAGCAACGCCCCCATATTTCAGAAGGGAAAGTACAGGTATGACATGGATGATATACTGACGATGGTAAACTGACAAAGGATGTCTTTTAAGCCAGATGAGTAGGGAGGAGAAAAAGCACTTAAATGATGCTTTAAACTCCAAGTTCCAATGATGTATCTGAAGACTGCTAGGAAACAAAACTATGGCAGGCAAACAAACAGCCTGCAGCAATCCCAATTAGGGAAGCTTTCTCAGAAGAAAAGTCTTTTGGCAGATGTGAGTCTGAAGCAAAACTCCAAACAACTCCAGGCGCACTACCCCATACCATGGGTTTGATTTCTGTGTAAATACCTTGGTAAAAGTTGTTGCCCCACACTGGTCTTTTCAATTCTACTCAGATGCAATGTATGGGAATGACTCTATTATTTTCTAACATAACAATAAATAGTGGCTAAATACAACTAAATAGCTATTCACAGACAAAGGAAGGGGAAAATAGCATTTACAGGGAGGGCACCTACGAAGAGCCAAGCCATTCGCATTGGTTTTGTCCGTTTAATGGACTTAGATCAAATGTGCTGGCCCTGCCTCACTTGGCAGCTCTGAAAATCACATTCCAGGGGTGCAGAGTGACTGAGCTTGGGCTTTTTGGTTGGAGCTACCCAGGCTCAAACACTGCACCTCTAAAATGACAGAAAGAGGGGACTTCCCCGGCAGTCCAGTGGTTAAAACTCCCAGCTTCCCCTGCAGGGGGCACGGGTTCGATTCTTATTTGGGGAACTAAGACCACATGTGCCTCGAGGTGTGGCCAAAAAAAAAAAAGAGAGAGACATTTGCTAAGTACTAGGCTTCCCTGGCGGCTCAGATGGTAAAGATTCTGCCCGCAACGCAGGAGGCTCGGGTTCAGTCCATGCTTCGGGAAGATCCTGTAGAGAAGGGAATGGCTACCCATTCCAGTATACAGTCCATGGGGTCACAAAGAGCTGGACACTTCTGAGTGACTAACACACACACACAGGCTAATAGGCGAACGATATATGGCAAAATGGTTGATATTGGATGACTGGATGACTCTTGCATTTAGATGCTAATCTTTCTGAAAATTACTGCAGCCTTTAATAGTAATCATTAGATCACATTCTGGATTTTGGCAACTTCCGTGAGGTTTAAAAACAGTAAGGGTGTATTTGTATGACATCCTAGAAAAAATGACCAACTCTTAGTAGGTAAAAATACTATGAAATTTTAAAGATTGTCACAATAAATTCCTGATAGCTGTGACTGCGTGTGTACATGCTAAATCTAGTCCAACTCTTTGTGACCCCATGGATTGTAGTCAGCCAGGCTCCTCTGTCCATGGGATTCTCCAGGCAAAAACACTGGATTGGGCTGCCATGTCCTCCTCCAGAGGATCTTCAGGGATTGAACCCGAGTCTCTTATGTCTCCTGCAATGGCTGACAAGTTCTTTACCACTAGGGCCACATGGGAAGCCCAACTGTGACTAATCTTAGTCAAATAAAAGTTTGTTAATCAGGTTGACGACAGAGCATGGACTCCAGGTCTGCTACCTGCCACTCTGGCCTTCCTTAGCCTGTTTCCTCATCTGTAAATGGGGCAGTATAATATATACTTATTATTACTTGAGAAAACTATCTAACATACTCAGCACAGTGCCTGGCATACCATAAAGGCTCAATAAATATTAGCTATGTTCATTGTAATTATTATATTACATGATGATGAAGATGGAGTCCATCAGATGAAAGCAAAGAATAAACAGGGATGTTTAATCCCTTGGACTTTGATATAATCAAATCATTAAACTATTTTTGCTAAAAAGCTAAGTTTCTCTTGATTAGGGAGTTGAAATTGACTGTCTCTAAGCATAAAAAATATTCATTCCTGGTAATTCCCTGGCGGCCCAGTTGTTAGGTCTCCAAGCCTTCACTGCCGAGGACTCAGGTTTAATCCGTGGTCGGCGAACTAAGATCTTGCAAGCAGCGTGGCACAGCCAATAATAATAATAAATACACATTTCTGAGGTCTCCTTATGGGTTTCTTTACCTTCAGTCTTTTTGTATGTTTGTCAGTTACTTAGTAGATGCTCAGATATACTTGTTGACTAGAGATAAATTTTTTACATTGAGGTATAATTGACATATGAATTATTGCTTTTAGGTATACAGAATAATTATTCAGTATTTATATCCAATTGATCCTTGAAAAACTTGGGGGTTGGGGTAACAAACTCTGGCAGTCAAAAACTGGTGTAAATTTTACATTCAGCCCTCCATATCCACAGTTCCACATCCTCAGATTCAACCAACCACAGTTGTTGTAGTACTGTAGTGTTTGAAGTGAAAGTCAAAGTGAAAGTGTTAGTTGCTCAGTTGTGTCCGACTGTTCGCCAGGCTCCCCTGTCCATGGAACTCTCCAGATAAGAATACTGGAGTGGATTGCCATTACCTTATCTGAGGGATCTTCCCAGACCAGGGATCAAACTCTGTCTCCTGCAAGTCTTCTGCATTACAGGCAGATTCTTTACCATGTGAGGGACCAGGAAGCCCTACTGTAATATTTACTACTGAAAAAAATCCACATGTAAGTAGACTTGCACAGCTCAACTCTGTGTAATTCAAGGGTCAGCTGCATATTGCAAATTGATCATCACAATGTCTACTTAATATCCATCACCATACATAGTTAAAAAATTTTTTCTTCTGATGAGAACTTTTAAGATTTACTCTCTTAGCAACCTTCAAATGTTCAATACATTTTAACTATAGTCACCATGTTCTATACTATATCCCCCAAACGAATTTATTTTACAACGAGTAATTGTGACCCCCCCACCCATTTTACCAACCCCCCCACCCCACCACTCTGCAACCCATGCTTCACCTCTGACAACCACCAACCTCTTCTCTGTACATGTGAGCTTGGTTTTAGGGTTTGGGGACTATATTTTAGGTTCGTATATATGTGAGGTTCATATATATGTGAGATCGTACAGTAGTTGTTTTTCTCTCTCTGACTTACTTCACTTAGCATTACACCCTCAAAGTCCAGCCGTGTTGTCGCAAATTCTTTGCCTTCAGTGTTAACCATCTCAAACTAACCACTCACCTAGTTGCCAATGTGATATTCATACGAGAAAACCCGATCATGTCTTTTCCCTCCTTACCCTCCCCCATGGCCCAAGTATCTCAGGGTGACAGACAAGGCCATCGAGGACCTAGTCCTTGGTCATTCTCCAACCTCCTCTTCTGAGACTTCCCGTCTTGATATATATGTCCTGATTTTATGAAAATGATTGTTTCGCCACCTTAACTCATACTGTCCCCTCTGCTTGCAACACCCTTTCATCTCTTCTTCACTCCCTCTATTTCTACTCATTATTCAAGGCTAAGGCAAATTCCTATTTTTTGTAAAAAACACCAAAAGAAAAGTTTGTCATGTCATATTCATATATGCATCTCAATGTATGACTATCACATTGGAAAGAAATCAAAATATCTGAAAATACAAAAGCCTTAGGAGTAGTTATCTGTAATCATTTTCTTATAATGAGAAAACATTTTAAATATTTAAAAGACTTTAAAATAATTTTAGGGAACTTTCCTGGTGGTCCAGTGGTTAAAACTCTGTGCTTCCACTGCAGGGGGCATGGGGTTTGACCCCGATCAGGGAACTGAGATTCTGCATGCAGCTGCTGCTGCTGCTGCTAAGTCACTTCAGTCGTGTCCAACTCTGTGCGACCCCATAGACGGCAGCCCACCAGGCCCCCCGGTCCCTGAGATTCTCCGGGAAAGAATATTGGAGTGGGTTGCCATTTCCTTCTCCAATGCATGAAAGTGAAAAGTGAAAGTGAAATCGCTCAGTCGTGTTCGACTTTTAGCGACCCCATGGTCTGCAGCCTACCAGGTTCCTCCGTCCATGGGATTTTCCAGGCAAGCGTACCGGAGTGGGTTGCCATTGCCTTCTCCGCTGCATGCAGCAGTATGTGGCAAAAGTATATGGCAAAGACAAATATTTTAAATAAAGTTTAGTTGTCATCTCTTCCCAAATCCTCCCTGACCCTGAGGTCTCCTCTGTGCTCCCACAGAACTCCTGAAATGCCTGTAATGGAGAATGCATCATACAGCGTGGAGGTTACCCCACTCTCAACGGGACTAGGGCTATCAATATTTCCACCTTTGTAGCAAGTGCCTAGCATAGTGCCAGGCGCACAGTGAGCACTCAGTAGATGCTTGTTGAACTGACCTGAATTCCCTCATTCACACCTTGCGAAGTCACTCAGTCGTGTCTGACTCTGCAACCCCATGGACTGTAGCCTGCCAGGCTCCTCTGGCCATGGGATTTTCCAGGCAAGAATACTGGAGCGGGTTGCCATTTCCCTCTCCAGGTGTTCACACCTAGTGAGCTGCTGGCAGATCCTGTTCAGACCTGTGGGCTGATCCTGGCCACACACTTGTAAGAGGCACACCCCAAGCAGGGCCAGTGTTCTGTGTCTGCCATTCCCAGTCATTCTGTCAGGAGCTGAGGGTGCCTTTTCCCAGTTTTTGCACTTCAACTTTTTTCTAACTATAGAAGTAATATAGTCTCACTGTAAAAAAAAAAATTTGGAAAGCATAGACTGCAATAAAGTAAGAAAAAAAAGATCTAGTCAGTCCAAATACCTACTATTTTTTAACCAGAATTATTTAGATCACTGTTTTTCAATTTTGTCTTCCCATTTCCTGGCACATATATTAAATTCTAAATTTTCTAAGAACTGGGCTGATTAGGAAGTGGAGGGAGTCTATATCCACAAATGAAAATTTGTAGGGGGCAATAGTGCATATAAAAAGACTTTTAATAATCTCTGTATAACTCAGGTTTAATGTGTTGGCATCTCTTTGTCTCCTAATAAGTTTAAGGGACCCTTGGTTTTTGAAATGACGATAGATCTCTTTTTCATCAGTGACTAGGTGTGAAGACGCTACTTATGGCATTCAAGATAGTTAGTCACTCAGTCATGTCTGACTATTTGCGACCCCATGGTCTGTCCACAGGATTCTCCAGGCAAGAATACTGGAGTGGGTTGCCATTTCCCTCTCTAGATTCAAGATAACCCAGAAGCAAAGAAAAACTAATCACTTTTGGAGGAAATGCACAGATATCATTCCAAGATAACTTAGTCATATCCAATGTCAGGAAGAGTATTCTCCATAGAACAAAGGGCTTTCCCTGTTGGTTTTGAGTGGCAGTAGGGTGTCCTTGATGACCCACAAGAATCATTAGACGGTATGTATATCCAGGGAAGAACCCTACTTAAAAGCCAAAAGATCACCTAGGCAGAGTCAGTTGCTCCGTCTCTGTCTGGGATGTTAACACTCCTACAGATCCAACATGGAAAGATCTTCCTCCATTCTGCAATTACTGGTCAACCTCAGAGACTGGAAGACACTGTGGGGCTTCCAATAATGTGGCTATTGCTTAATTAAGCTTCTTCCTAAACCTTATTTAGAAGTACTGGGCCCATGCTATGTCCTGGGGGCCATTGACTAGCTACCTAGCAGGGGCCTGAAGCCAAATAAAGCATGACAAAGTCTCTGAAGATAACCAGGCTCTTCATGCTTCTGAAAAGGTCACAATTTGCCCATGTGTTTGAGAACTATTAATATAGCCACTTAATTTTTTTTAATTAAGTATACTTTTTAAAAAAAGAGCATTTTTGGCTTCTCTGAGTCTTCATTGCTGCGCACAGGCTTTCTCTAGTTGCGGTGAGCAGGGGTTACTCTTGTGGTTCATGGGCTTCTCATTGTGGTGGCTTCTTTTGTTGCAGAGCATGGGCTCGGAGGACAGGCTCAGTACTTGTGGCACACAGGCTTAGTTGATCCTTGGCCTGTGAGATCTTCCCGGATCAGGGATGGAACCCATGGGTCCTGCATTGGCAGGCAGATTCTTAAACACTGAGCCACCAGGTAAGTCCAATACAGCTACTTTAAATTGCAATGATACAAAGAATATCATAGCTATAGAAAGCAGTAAAGACAGGTTTGACACAATGGGTCATTCGTGGAGCCCATACTCTGTGTCAGGTGCTCTGTATTTATTCTTTCTAATCCTTATGGTGACCTGGCAAGATAGGATTATTATTATACTTTAAGGTAATTCTGTCCATTTTACAGATGAGGAACTAAGATCCAGAGAGGTTAACACTCAGTTGGTGATAAGTGGAAGGGCTAGGATTCATACTCAGTCTTGTCTGACTACAAATTTCCCTCCCTTCCCACTTGGTTTCCTTTGGTCTGGCTATGCTTGGGTGTCATCATTGGGTGGGTTCTGCTGGAGGAAGGACTAAATGGGAAATGAATTCAGACAGCACTGTCAACCCTTACAGCACTGGTACACTGTGGCAAGGGCCCCAGACTGGGGTAGTTTCTTGGCAAAATATTCAGGAGGGAGAACACAGTCATCATGTCAGCTATTATAGCACTTTGCCACGACTGTGGAAGGTTCTAAAGGTTCCAAAAGAGATCTGAGAGGGCCTAAAAACTCCTTAGAGTGTGGAGATCTCCTATGGAGCAGTTTGCTTTCTAGAAAGGGAAGGACAGAAGTGGTAAAATGCAAGGTGACCACCAGCCCTCTAGGCCCAGGCTTGGCTGCTAAATAGGCTCAGAGAGTCTTGAACAGTGGGGAGCTGGGGTCATGGAAAGTCGAAAGAAATAACCCCTTAGTAGGTGGAAGGGTTGCTAAGCTTAAAAAATAAAAATATAGGATGCCAGGGTAAATTTGAATGTCAGATAAACAAAAAAATTTCAACAAAACATTTATTAGTATAAATTCATCCTTGGATATATACATCCAAGGAACCATTTTATCTGGTGACCACAGCCAAGCTGTTTGAGGATTAACAGGTGTGTACAGGGAACTCCTTCTATGAGGCCTGGGGAGTGTGTCCAGGATGTGTCTTGCTGAGAATGGATATCAGTGTCAGAGGTGGTCCTAGGGAAAATAACTATCTCAACAGGGAACCATGTGAGCCCCAAGCCCTCATTCCAGCCTAGGAGGCAAACAAGCCATCTGAGAATACAGGGGAGTCTATGGATTTTTAGGGGACTTAGAAATTTTCATTTCTAGGTAAAGGCTTCATACTTACAGTTTGATAACATGTTTTACAATTTAAATTGTTAATATAATTGTGAAAAAAAAATAATTAAAAAGAAAAATTTTTAATAGGGCTAAGTTAACCTGTCTGGTATTTGAGGTATTATAAGTATTTGATAAAGGGGGTTATAGAAGAAAGAACTTACTTCATTACTCTTATACTAGAAAAGGGGAACACCACTGCTTGGGTCATTAAAAAACCATTCGAGGCAGTTCAGGGCTCCCCGGTAACTCAAGTCCTTGTCCTTCTGACAGGCTAGCTCTGTACAGGAGAATATTCTCAGTCTACCAAAGGAAGCATAACTTCTCTTTTCTCCAGAGGAGAAGGTAGTACTTCTTGAACCTGGCGTTTCTTGAACTTGGTCAATTAATCCAGTTTTTGGAAAAGAGGAAATTTTTTTTTGTTTGTTTAAAAGAATCATTTTTTAAAGGCTTTTTTATGAAACAGAATTTTTTCACCTGTTTTTTAATATTTAGCAAGTGTCAAGATCATTATATTAGAATGTTGGAGTTTGAAGGAAGGGTTGGGGAGTGTCTCAAAGGCTGTTTCATGTCCAGGAAGCTTCCCCAGGTGCCATATACATGTATGAATTCACTTTGGTTCAAAGGCATGGTTCTAGGCCTTGCACTCTCAAAAACCACTTAATTTCTTGGTTCTCCTTCAGGGGAGACCTACACTAACTGACTTCACCAAGACAGACATAGAACTGGGACACCCATTCATTTACAAAGAAATGTGACAATTTCCTGGATACTGGGGATATACATAGAGACCTCAACTGCAAGCCCAAGGCTGCTTGATGAGCAGGGAATAACGATAATAGATGCCACTGGTCATTTAATGAGTGTTCAAAACTTATAAAACATTAATAGTGACAGTTAACCCTGGTCAAATGGGCAGTTTTCATCCTTACAACCTCATCATGAGAGAAATATTTATCTTTCTTAAACTCATGAGAATACTGAAAAAGATGTCATAGCTCATTAATTCTTTTTTTAAAGCAAAACTTTTCAAAAATAATTTTATTTATTTTTGGCTGTGCTGGGTCTTTGCACCTCGAGGACTTTTCTCTAGCTGCCACGAGCAGGGGCTACTCTGTTGTGGTGTGTGGGCTTCTCACTGCGGTGGCTTCTTTTGTTGCAGAGCCCAAGCTCTAGAGCTCAGGTTCAGTAGTTGTGGCCCACAGGCTTAGTTGCTCTGCAGTGTGTGGGATCTTCCCAGGTCAGGGATTGAACATGTATGTTCTGCATTGGCAGGCAGATTCTTAACCACTGAATCACCAGAGAAGCCCCTCATAAACTCTTAGAGATATGTTTTCAGATGTGAATATCCTACAAACAAAATACATTTATAATATAAAACTCCACAAAAATGTGGTCACTTTTTACTTATCCATCAAATATTTAAGTGTCTAGTGTGGGCTGGGTACTATGCAGGTTGATGCAGACAGAACAGTGTTTAAAATATCAAGGCCCCTGCTCTCACTAAGTTCACAGTCTAGCTGAGATCACTAATCAGTAAAAGAATCAAAACATCAGCTTTTGAGAATTGCTGTGAAGGCAGTAAGTATGGGAATATGACCAAGTGTAATAGGAGGGGAAGGGGAAAGAAGACAGGTACTCAATGTGGCTCTCTGAGGGGTGACATTGGAACTGAGACCTCAGAGCCATGCAGGGGCCTTCACTTGGGGCTATGCAGGTGCCAGGAAATAGGTCATCTCAGTCCTACGCCCCAGAGCTCCTGACTATGAGCAGCCTCTTCCGAGGCTCCTTGAAGGGCAACCTGAGCAGTCTGGGTTAGACCCGTGCCCCTCAGTTGGCACAGAAATAAGCAGATAAGCACATAAGTGAGCACGACTCACTGCTCCATGGGATGTGTTGAGCAGTTTGAGAGGTGCTCTAGATCCCAGACCCCGGTTTTAGTCCCACAAGGCAGGGAGCATCATGGACCAGGAACCTGAGGACTACTGTGCCAAGTGCCCAAGGAGTACTGGTGTGGCCCAAAATGCAACCAGTCAGAGTTGAGGACAAGGAGCCTGAACAGAGCTGCTGGTGCAGATTTGAATTTCTGTCCTCCTACCAGGTATTTCTTGCTATTTTAGACTTTTTGGTGGTGACCAAGGTACTTACAGGAAGACTGCTTAGTAACACGTGTGTATTTTGAAAATCGGAGGTATAATTTAAAAATACTTGATTTTCAAAGAGCTTAGCTGGTTTCAAAATCCATTCACAAGAAATTCCAAGACTACACTTGTCAATGAAAGAAAGGAAAGAATTTTAAATATATAACTCCAACTGTTACACTTTTTTGAATGACTGAAAATTATATTTTAAAGTTTTTCAATGATAAGATCATCAAGAATCTGAAGAGATCTTCATTCTAAAGTCTTGATCAGGAATAGTATGTGGCCATTTCAAGTTTAAAACCTGATATAAAAAATCATGCTCCTGGATGTAAGCTCAACATTTCTCAGCAAAAAATTTGAAAACATTTTGAGTTTTACACAAGTTTGATATTGATTTTCTTTAAAACGCAATTATTTTCTCTTATATGATTGTGTAATATAAAAATACATAATGAAAGCTTTAATCAAGTTCCGTACGAATGGCTCCAAATCCGTTTCAGTTTTCTTCCGTGGACCTTACAAAGAGGATCTTTTTCTAAGAGATATGAGAAAGTGCAAAATGTTGCCTTAGAACATGAGGGAGCCAGCTCTGTGTAAAGCTTATGCGTAAGTGCTCAGTCACTTGGCTGTGTCTGGCTCTTTGCGACCCTGCCTGGCTCCTATATCCATGGAATTTTCCAGGCAAGAATAGTGGAGTAGGTTGCCATTTCCTCCTCCAAGGGATCGAACCAGTGTCTCCTGCAGGTGCAATCTTTTACCACTGAGCTACCTGGACTCCTGTGCAAACCTTGGGGAGAGCATTTAACCTGCAAAACACTGTAATGATCCTCAGGAACGAAGACGAAGACATTGAAAGATAAGGTAGCTGGGCTGCAGCAGAATGTCACTAGGGAGGGCAGGGGTGATGCCAGGCCCTGCATTTTAACCAAGAGCAGTGGGAGGCCTAGAAATGGATTTATGGAAGGGTGTGACTTAATCCAATTTACATTCTATAAATCTAATCTCTGCATGCAATGTAGAGAATGGAACACAGAGGTGCAAGAGTGGAAAGAGAAAGGTCATATAGAAAGTGACTGAGGGGACAGGCAAGAGGAGAGGAGGAGAGGAGCAGGTCATTCTGAGAAGTTTTTCAGAGGTAGGATCAATAGGACTATGCGGAAGAAAAGAAAGGAGGTTAAGTAGGATGCTGGAGTTTTTTGGTTTGAACAATTAAGTAAATCATAATGCCATTTACTGGGCAAAACTGAAGGAGGGACAATTAAGGAAAGAGGACTGGGATCCAAAGCCTCAAGGCAAATTTTTCAACAAAGTGCAACTAGAGAGAATCATAGATGATAAGAGATTTAATGGATATAGTAGTGTTAGTTGCTCAGTCGTGTCCTACTCTGCGATCCCATGGACTGTAGCCTGTCAAGCTCCTCTGTCCATAGAATTCTTCAGGCAAGAATACTGGAGTGGGTAGCCATTCTCTTCTCCAGGGATCTCCTCCACCCAGGAATTGAACCTGCATCTCCCGCATTAGCAGGTGGATTCTTTATCACTGAGCCATCTGGGAAGTCCAACCAGCCACCTATCCAGATGCTAAACATACTTGATCCTACAACTAGGAAAAACTTGTGGCCTATCTTCACACATAAATATCACTTCCATTTTACAGATGGACAGCTAAGTAGGTTCAGATAATCCAAGATTAGAATTATGTCATCTAAAAGTTTTCCCGGCCCTTAGAAATATTTTTAAGCCAAAAAATGGAAGCTATGGAAAAATCTAGCAGATAAAGAGAACATGAAATGAGGAATTTAATTGATGTGGAATCAGCCTTCCTGGAAAAAAGCCAACAAATATTTTGGTTTTCTCAAAACAAAACAAAAAACAAGCAAAAAAAAAACAAAAACCCTTTTCTTGGCCCAAATTATAGGAACTCTTCGCTGGCAGCTCAGCCTAAGCTTTTTTGCATGTGTGCTTTTAGGACAGTCTTGCAAATTGCATGTGTTCTGCACAGCAACCACAGACACTTACCATTCATTAAATAATAATGAAACAGGAGGACTGGATTTTGTTTGTTTCTCCTGGGTCTGTTCCTCACTTAAGTGACCTTAGACAAATCTATTCCCTCTCTCATATCTGATTTCAGGGTAATGTTTATGACTAAGATGCCTTATAAGAGCTTCAGACTATCAATAGTAGTTATGCTCTCCATCTATAAAATTTATCTCCTTCACTATCCTATGGGATGTCTGCACGACACTTCTATTGAAAACCTTCGCACGTAGTTCCAAGTGTAGTCAAAGCCATCTAGGGACGGTGCATATATTCTAAGGCCAATGAAATGACAACGTGGATAACTTGAACCTGAAATCCGTTTCCTATGCTACTGAGAATTGGAAAATGGATAAATGTGATGATCCCCAACGACGTTTTCCTTACTTCTGCCGTTTACCGCCGCATCCAAACTATTCAGAAGCTGCTGACAACATTTGACTCTACAGTATTTGGCAGTTCTACCTAAAAGTGAAATGGTTAAAAGGCCGAACTGGCTGGTAGAACAGCTGCCAAGGCTGGTATTCATGCCCTGGTGCAGTTAGCTGTGTATTCCATGCATTGTTTTAGCAGCTTACAAAACAGCCATCTTGCATCAGGCATCCTGACCCAGGAAGAAGGCGAGCCCCGTCCCGTCGGCCTAGAGATGCCACCTGCGCGGAGCCAGGCGTCCCAGGTGGCAGAGTTCTCGCTGACCGCCTGCAGCCTGCAACCTGCACCGCGGGACCCGCCACGGCCCGAGCCGGTGTCTTGAGTGAATAAAGTTTGCGGGCTGCCCGGTCGCACCTGGCCCGTAGCGAGAGCAGGAAAACAGCCGTCCGGCCGCCCTGCCAGCTGCTAGAGCAGCCCCAACCGAACGTGGGCGCGGGGTGCGAGGCTTCTATTTGCAAGCTTCCTGTCGGGTAGTGTTTTCAACTGGGGCGCGGAGACTGGGCCGGCGGTGTCCTCCTCCCCGCCCCCACGCCGTCCGGGGCGCCTCGGGGACGCGCGCCGGAGCGGGGCGCCCCCTCCCTCACCCTCCCCGCCGCTGCCCGAGACGCCCGCAGGCCGGGCGTTCACCGGCCGCGCCTCCTCCCGCCAGCCCCTCCCCCCAACTTCCCCCTCGGCGCCCCAAACCCGGGCTTCCTGAGTTCCATGACGTGTGCGCACGGAGCTGGGTGCTAGTGCGGGGCCGGGGAGCCGGAGTTAAAACGGGGGCGGGCGGGCGGCCGTCTCGGCGGGAGCCGGCGGCCCTTCAGCGTGTCTTTTGTGTTTGTACACACACTGCGCGAGGCAGCCGGGAGGAGGGAGCGGGCGGCGCGCGGGGGAGGGGCGAGCGCGCGCCAGCGAACGGGCGCGCGGGGGGACCCTCCATTGTGTGTGATTGGTTGGCGCGCGGCGCGGGGGCGGGGCGGCTTGTGTTGGGGGATAGCCTCGGTGTCAGCCATCTTTCAATTGTGTTCGCAGCCGCCGCCGCGCCGCCGTCGCTCTCAAACGCCAGCGCCTCCTCTAGCTCGCCGAGCTCCAGCCGAAGGAGAAGGGGGGTAAGTTTCCCCGTCTGCCCGCTTCCCCGGAACCGAGCCCCGCTTGCCGTCAGCCCTGGGCCGGGCCCCGGCGGTGCCGGGAGGGGACCCAGGGTCCCTCCGGCTTGGCCCCAAAACTTTTTGGCCCAGAAATGGAGATGAGGAGCGAGTTTCCCTCGCCCCTCAGGCAGCGGCGGCTCCGGCGGCTCCCCAGTCTCTCGTCGCCTCAGCCCAACAGCAGCAACCGCCGCGTCGCCGAGCCTGTTCTCCCTCCCCGCGCCCCTGGCTCCTTTTTCTTCGGTGAAATCCCGCCCGCTGCCCCTTCCCGGGACCCCAGACCTTCACCACGACCCGCGCGGGCCTCTTAACTACCGACCCCGGACCCCGGACCCCAGTTTTCGGGCGGGAAAAGGGTGGAAATCGCCGCTGCTTCCCACCCTGGGGTAACTCGCTTTTTGCTGCCTCCCCACAGTTGTTGCTAAGCTTCACCATCTTGTCTCTCTTCTCTGGTCACCGACCATATTTTTTCCCCCGTTTCTCTCTTCCCCATTTCAAAAAAGGAGGAAAAAATTTTAAAGAGAAACATTTTTTTCTCCTTTTTAGAGAAGCGGAAACTTGATGCATTTGAAATGCAAAAAAACTTTTGCATTTTGGAGGGCGGCACGTGGCAGGGGATGGAGTATTTTCGAGCGATTTGGTGTTTTGTCTCTTTGGAAAGGAATCGGATACGTTTTGCGATTGTTTCCATTTTGTTCTGGTCTGGGAGCCGAGTTTGTGCCTGCGCGAGGCGCTAGGAGCGAGGCGGGCAGGCTGGGGGACCCTGTGCCGAGGGCCCGGAGGAGGCGAAACCAAAAGTTTATGTGGTGCTTGGGGTGGACCAGTCGGCCAGTCTTGTGCGTTAATTAAAGCCTGGGTGCGGGGCAGGTTTTTTTTATTATTATTATTTCATTGCGAATCCTCTGAGGACTGGACTCGAGGACGGTGCTTTGTAGAATGCTCGCTGTTGGTAGCTGTTGTTCCTCTTGTTTTTTGAGACGCCTTTTTGTCAACAGAACTGTAGAGATGCAAAACCAGGAATGTTTTCAGATATTTACAGCAATCTATCAACTGCCAGACGTAAAGGGGGGGCGGCGGGGGGGGGGGGGGCTNGGGGGGGGGGGTGACTAAAACCTTTTTTTGCTGTAATTTGACTCGACCTTTCTGTGGTTTGTGGCTTCGTTCTTTTGACTTGTTAGTGGATGGAATGTTTACAGACATTTCTAATTTCTACTTTATTTAAATTGAAGCGAAAGCTGTTGGGTCTTTTTGTTTTGCTGTTTATCGCTCAGATTGGGCATTTTGAGAGATGACTGGTGTTAAGGCTAACAATTTTCTAGTACTACAGTTTGTTTCAAAAAGTCATATTTGGGTGGTAGACGTAATCTGCACCCTTTCAAATTATATAACATTATGGACCTTTTTTTAAAATACTAATCATAATTTCCAGATGGGGGGGGTGGGTAGTGGCAGGAAAACTTGTGTGTTTGGTAGTTGCATATGGTGATATTTGGTTTTTCCAATGCTGGTAGGTAAGTAAGGAGGTCTCTATACCATGGCTCGTACAAAGCAGACTGCCCGCAAATCGACCGGTGGTAAAGCACCGAGGAAGCAACTCGCTACAAAAGCCGCTCGCAAGAGTGCGCCCTCTACTGGAGGGGTGAAGAAACCTCATCGTTACAGGTATTTTAAAACAGGGAAAATGGAAGTCTTATCTCTTATAGTATCTATATAATCTAATAAAAAGATGTATAATAAGCATACGTTCTCCTTTAGAGAATCGGTTTTTCCCCTTGTTAAGTATTTACTACTTTAAAATGTGCGTATAATTTAGTGTTAGGTTTTATTAGGAATATGTTTAATTTTGAAGCTGTAATCGTGCCCATAGCCCAAAGGAGACGTTGTATCTCTAATAATGTTAATAGGATAGACTAACATTTTACTTAGCTGTTAGGTGTAATATATATGTTTTAAATAGAAAAGTGTTGGTTTTTAAATACATTTTTGAGGATACTCTTGTATCTGGTAAAATAATTTAATCAAGATGGGGGGGGCATTGTGTTTTACATAAGTCCTTCATTTACGTGAATTGGTTTTTCCTTCTATTGGCATAGTTTTGAACTACCCTGAGAAGTGTTGTTGAGTGCATCTGCCATTAGAGGGCAGAAGTTGTCTGTATTTACCCTCTGCAAATGATTAGCCTAAAATAAAAGTGTAAGAAATAAGTCAGGATTGAGGTAAATTTCTTGCGTAAAATTACTTAAAGGAAAAAATTTCCATATGGAAGATAAAACACAAAAGAGTGTTCCATCAATTTAATCGTTCATGAGGGATGTGCAGTGTCAAAGGTATTCTGGGAAAGTGAACTTAAATACTGTAAGGCTGTTTTTTTTTTTAAGTGAAGCTCATTGGATTGTGCTGGTAGATCTTTCAGAAGAAGGGGATGCCAGTGGGAAGATTGAAATGGTGTCAAATTGAAAGTCTGAAAAAGTTTGACTTCTTTATTAGAGGCCTAGTACCTTCCCAGGTTGTAATTATAACAGAAGTTAGTGATGTTTATGTTACAGATGAAGAAAATTAAGGGGACTGTGATTATCAAACCCCCTGCCAGGAATCTGTTTTAATGGCATGCTTTTTTGTATTAAAAGTATTGTGTTACTTCTAACAGATTTGAATATTTAGGTCATAAATTGATAAGTGAAATTTGATACAAAAGCTGAAGAATAGTTAGGTGATTTATTTTTTGAAAAGTGACTGCATCTCTCTGAAGCTGATGACCTTCTTTTAAGTTCTCTTATGTATTTGGTAACCACTTCTTTAATGTTTTGTTTTAAAGGCCTGGTACTGTGGCACTCCGTGAAATTAGACGTTATCAGAAGTCCACTGAACTTCTGATCCGCAAACTTCCCTTCCAGCGTCTGGTGCGGGAAATTGCTCAGGACTTCAAAACAGACCTGCGCTTCCAGAGCGCAGCTATCGGTGCTTTGCAGGTAAAACGGGTGGGGAGGCGCTTCTGCTTTGTACCAAGGACATCTTTAAATCTTTGCATGTGCTAGTGTGTCATCAGCTAGTGAGATAGGTCTTTATCTATATTTCACTGTTGAGATGTCAGAAAGGTTAAGTTGCTTGAGGTTATACAAACCAATACGATTTAAAAATTTTAAACATGCAGTGTTTAGAGGAAAAAAGAACTCTGGTTTGACTTACAGTTGCTGCTGGACTTTAGGAAGTCATGGGGATAAAGGTCTGTATTGGTAATTAGTTTCAAACAGGGACTGATAGAAAAGGAGAGTTAGAGTAAATGGCTTCCTGGACCTCAAGAGGCAGTTGCAAGTGGAGAGAACATAGTATCTGGGGTGGGGCTAGGCAACATTATAAAGAATTGTACATTGAAATAAAAGAAACTTGATTGGTAGTTAGGATTGGATTAACAACAGGGAGAAAAAGATGTTACTGGGCTTGTAAAGAGAGAAGTCTGAAGACATGTTTGTTTAAGGGGATATATATGGATTTCCACTTAAATGGAAAACAGTGAGTTTAGTCTTAGCTCCAGTGTGTCAGAACTTTGAGAAATACAGTTTTAGCTGTGGTTATGTATTTGAAATGGGATTCCCTAATGGCTCAGAGGTAAAGAATATGCCTGCAATGCAGGTTTGATACCTGGGTTGGGAAGATCTCCTGGAGGAGGAAATGGCAAGCCACTCCAGTATTTTGGCCTGAAAAATCCCAAGGACAGGGGAGCCTGGCAGGCTATGGTACAAAGGGTCATAGAGTCACACGTGACTGAGCACACACGTGTATTGGTGGTTTGTGCCAGATTAAACAACTTGAGATGCCCACACTTAAGATACTTGATTTAGGTGTGTGGGTACCATTAACATCAGTCACTTAAGTAACCTATAATGTTAAGTGTGTTTGGCATTCATTAGATCATTGTAACTCAGAGTATGGCAAGACTACCACCTCTGTCAGCATTGGGTTAGAGGTGATTTAAAATGCAGATTACTAGGCACCTCCACAGACCTGCATCAGAATCTCTTTTAGGGGAGGGTCCAGAATCGACATACATTCCATTGGAGGATTTTTCAAGGCTGCTGTTGCCAAGCTTTTCCTTTATGTGTGAGGAAGATTTGATAGGTGCATTCTATCCTGAAGTGTAATTGGTTGAGCTGTTTCTATGGTTAGTCTGAACTTCATTTGATTGGTGAATTCCAGGAGTAGGCATCCATTAAATTCTCAGTGAGTTGAAATTACTGAAATTTCAAACTACTAAAATTTTTCAGTGCTGTTATTTAAGATCTTTATTTTCTGGTTTAATCTTTGACTATTTCTAGATCCCATTTCATTTATTACAAATGCTAGTCACGTTTTCTGCACTAATTTTAAATACAGAAATAGTCTCAAGTGTTGACCTAAAGATGCTGATTTTGTTTTGCAGTTACAGTTGGCAGGGCCCTACTTGAACTACACATTATACTTGAAAGGCCAACATTGTCAAGCCTAAGTGTCAGTGACAGAGCTTTGTAAATTGATTACTAAACAGTCTGGCTAAAAGACTTGTCTTTTAAAAATTCATTGCTGTTATTAAGGTTTGTGTTTTATACTTGTCAGTAAGTGATTGCATTGGTTTTGAGCAAAATGTTCAACTCTGCTGCCTTTAGTACTCTGGCATTGGTAGCTCTTTATTGGAAAATATTTCATTTCTCTTAAGGGTATAGAGATGAAGAATTTGCTAATGCGAATAGGGCAGAAGAAAGCCATTTTTTACTTTAGAGTTACATTGTTTACAACTTCTCTAACACAACTAAAAGAGATGGAGGGGGGTAAGTCTAGGGAGGATGGTGGAAAAATTAAACTTGGTTTGCCATAGATTATCAAGACTTAACTAACTTAAAATTTAGCTTTTTCCCCTAACAACTGAGAGTTTGAATTAAGGTCACCTTATGTTAAAAGTTGACATTGGTGGTTTGAAATGGTGGAACAGTCAGATACTGAATGTTGTGAATTAACATTTCCTTCCATTTACAAGATTTTTTTTTTTTTGCTATTATCTCAAAATCTTGTTCATTGGGTCCCTCTTTAAATCCCATCATAGCCTTAATGTTTAGGAAACTTTGGACATTGGTAATAGAATTAGAAATACATGGGTCATGGTCAAATTCCCTGTATTGACTCTTCTCCCAGAGCTGACAGACACAACCCTGTGTATCTAGAGTAGGTTCTAAGATAGCAGTGAGAGCCCCAGCTGCCACATATCACATTTGAATAGTACTAGGGGAGCCAAAATCATTCCACTCTTAAATGGGTGTTTGAATTTCAGGACTTGTTGGCTTGTCCATATAGCAGCTCATAGTGCTGTATTTTGCAGAAGCCTTCTAGATTTGCATAATCCTGAGACATGCTGGGTGAAACCAAAAAAAGAAACAACTGTTTTCTTTCTTGAGGAATTTAAGTTCTGGTATCTAATGTGAAACTCAGTAGGGTCTACAGTATGGTATGTTTTCTAAACTTCTTACCGTTTCTAGAATATCCCAAAGATGAATCCCTGAATATTAAAGACTTTTGCTTTAAATATATTCTTTGGAATAGGTAAGATGCAGGGAACTACTTGTGTAGGAAAGGTGCAAATTTCAGGAATTCCCTGGCAGTCCAGTAGTCAGGACTCTGCACTTTCATGGCTAAGGACCCAAGTACAGTTCCTGGTTGGAACCAGGAAAAAAAAGAAAAGATGCAAATTTCAGTTAAGGTTAGCTATAAAAAACCAAGCCTGCAAATACTTTTTGAACTTCTATTCTTTCAAGGGCTAGGCAATGTGATCATAAAATGAGTATTTAAGTAAGGGTATTAAAAGGTGGCTAGTGTACAAGGCCCGTGGGAATGCCAAGGAAATTAGGAGTTCAAAATTACCTGCACCTGGGAAGCAGGAGCGAGAGGAGTGTTTGCTTTCTCCTTCATGGAATAATCTTGAGGCAGGCCATAAAGGATAGGCAAATAAGACTTATCTGTTGATAACATACTATAGAAAGATATGTAAGGGTAGTAAAATTTGAATGAAACAATTTTATAGAAGAGGCTAAAAAGAATAAAGGTATAAATGTAGAAAAAATATTTTCATAAGAGAATAATAGAAACCATTTGAGGAGTTGTTAGCACTTTTAAAAGCAGAATTTCAAGTGTTACTAGCAAAGTTAGTGTTTATTATAAAGCAAATCTGGTCCCTCCCATCTCTATATCTTATGTGTTACAAAATATTGTGGGGCTTGAATTGCTTAAGAATTTTTTGTATTTCTCTTTTAGTTTTATTGCCTAAAGAGTTCCAAAATGGAAATAATTTTTTAATTAGGACAAAAATAGCAACTCTAAAAATCTGGGTTGTTTTTTTTTTCCTAAATATATCTTAAACAGAAATAACTTGCTTATAGAGAAACCAAATAATGTCTTTGACTTAGTGTTCCTAATCCACTAGAACAGGTTGGACTGATGACTGGTTCATTTCAAAATGAGTAAGCAGTTGTTTTAACCTAGACCAAAGAATTCAACTTTGCAGACAACTGTAAGATGCACTAACAACTTAAGAGTTAATTATAAATAGGAGTGCTCCTTTTTTCTTCCTTCTCTGCGAGTATTGAATGATTTCTGTAGCTAGCAGTTTAGAGTGAAAGTAGGAATAGGAGGATGCTTCAAAAGCTTTCTGATGTAAGGGGAAAAAACAGAGGGATCAGTGTTAATGCTGAGGGGGTACCATGCCATTACAGATAGGGGTGCATAGAGGAAAGTACAGTTAGGGGACATGGTGGGGTGCATATGTTGGCAAAATAGATCAATGTATGTAAGTAGGACACTGACCTGGTGGTCAAACTCTGAAGTGTTTAAAGGAAAGGTAGATGAGGCCCATATGATGGAAACCAGTAGTCAAACAGATATAATGAAGTGGGAGTAAGATTCAGAAAAAGGAGGATATCCCAAGGTGGGAGAGTATTATTTGGAATAGATATACATGATTCCATTTATCTTTGTGAGGATAAGAATAAATGTTAGAGTTGACATTTGATTTTTGCTTTACTAAAGACACATTTCATTTTGCTTAAAAATCACGTATAACATTAGAAAAGGTAAACTATTTGGTAGTGAAATTATTTGACTTTTGTATTTTATAAAGATTTACGGTCTTGAGTTTTTCACTTTCATAAGCTGCCTTTCAACCTCATCCCAGATTTTAAACTAAGCATTTGGTAAGTGGTCAACATCTTCTGAAGCAGGTTTTCACAGGACTCAAAAACATCTTTTTAACTAATATAGATGTATCTTTAACTGTTGATAATAACATTTTTTTTCTCTGTTCCTTTTGTAGGAGGCAAGTGAGGCCTATCTGGTTGGCCTTTTTGAAGACACCAACCTGTGTGCTATCCATGCCAAACGTGTAACAATTATGCCAAAAGACATCCAGCTAGCA